ATTTCATTTACTAAATCACCATTATTAAATTTAGCCCATATGAAAGTATAATTAAAAAAAAAAAAAATCGAGGTGTTACATAATCTACAATTTTTTAGTTAATAAAACACAAGTTATATATTACAGTAGTATTTCAATAGAATATACTTATTCCTATATAGAATAATTTTATAAGTCTTATATTTTATAAAATTTATTATGTTTTTACTCATCACGAGTAAACCCTTACTTAATTTAATATTTCTAATGAATAATATGTTGTTACTCCTAAAATAACACTATTATAAAAAAGATATTATTTTCTCTTGATGAACATGAAATTACAATGTCAATATTTCAAAAGAATATGGACTATTGCTCCTAAAGAAGTGATAGTCTAAGCATATTATTATTTAACAAAAATTAAAAAAAATAATAATACTTTATTGTGCTCTAGAAGTAATACATGTCTAAAAAAAATATCATATCATCAAATAAATATAAAATAAGTTATCATCTCTACATGCGTAACTTTTGAACTAATGCTTATCCTTGAAGGAAAGATTACAACTCTTGTTTTGTTGTCATTGGTTAATTTGGCTCTTTAATTGGTTCTTATATGACTATACAATATTTAATTATATTTTTAAAAATTAATTGCATTTTATTTTGCTTCATTAAATAATTGTTGATGTTTTGTCTAGAAATTAAAATTTGTCATGTAGCAATTTTTTCCTTTCTAGGAACATCTCGTCTACTGATGTGATTGTGTAATGTATAGAAAAGAATTTGTTTTATCAAACAATTTTAATTGCATCCCATAAAGAAATATTCTTATGTCTTTTGTTTAAAGACACATGTAACCGATATGTCTTGGATCCTCAACTCAAATATGATAACTAGATAGTATGTTCAAGCTGAATATTGTACATTATATGCATACATAAACATGAATCAAATAATTTTGTGCAAATAATATATTGTCTTATAACATTAATAAAATATTATTATTCAGTCATAAAGCAGATTGAAGATGAACTGCCAAGATATTTCTTTAGTTGATAGCATAACTATGCATACATAAACATGAATCAAATAATTTTTGTGCAAATAATATATTGGTTTTTAACATTAATAAAATTTTATTATTCAGTCATAAAGCAGATTGAAAATGAACTGCCAAGATATTTCTTTAGTTGATAGCATAACTATGCATACTATTCTTCAAGACAAAATTATTTTTTCATAGTTATATTAATAGAAAATAATGTTAATATGAATTAGATGCATTGAATATCATTATAGGCACCAAAAGAGCTAGTATTATTTTATGACATAATACAAAACTATATGTTGACCATGCACTTTTAGTCCAAAAAAATCCATAAAGAATTTGCTTAGTTTTATATATTTATATCAACTATACTGGATATCAAATTAAAATGATGCAAGAAAATAATACTAAATATCTTTGCATAATTTTTTATTATTTGACAAAAACCATATAAAAGAAAAACTGCTATCACTCCTCTTTGGCATGTACTATACATTTTCAAAAATGAATAAATCGAACATTATCATTAACTTAAAGTTCGTTGGCTCAAAAGTTCTAGACTTTAGCATGATTAAATTGAACACTCAAAAGCAATAATGATATGTCAAATAATTAAAAACTCACATGGACATCCCTAAAAATTAGAAGATTCTTTTAACTAATCCATATACTTCTTGTTCGCAAAATAAGTTAGTCACCAGACCTTCCACTATAAATGTTAATGTTGAATCCCTAACTTTTTTTGAAAGAATTCACGGAGGAAAGAATTCATAGAGATAAATTTAGGTCGATACACCACTATATTGATCATTTTGTTATTTTATGATTTTAATTGATTATTCTATTAAATGGCAACATATCTGCTTACTTTTCATTAGAATATTGTCCTATGAGAATATCAAATGTATGAGAATATAAATGAATCTCAAATACGTTGAAGCGTAGTGGACTAGTTGGTGCCAAAGACTGTGTACATGAAAAAAATATAAAATAAAAATCAATCAAAAACGTTAGAAGAAACAATGATAGGATGATTGATTAATCAAAAACTAATTATATGATTCCAGCGGAATCACAAATGTCCATCAATCATAAGATCAATAAATTACTTATGATCTCAAAATATGAGAATGGAATAATATTGTAATTAAAAATATTTTTGCTTTTCACTTGACTTTTGAAATTATGCAAAACGAAGATTTTGAACCACGGTCTATGAAAAACTATTAAATGATTGACCAAAATAAAAATAAGTTACATAAACGGATTAAAATTCCTTAAAGAAATGAAAATGTGTTTGGACTTACAGTTTGAAGCCCAAAAAATATAATCCATGTGGATTAAAAGTTGACTTTTGTAAAGAAGATAAATGAAAATAATGAAATTACAAGTACAAAACCCAACTTGTAGTCCAAGGTTTCTCACAGACTTGTGATGAATTATGAGAAAATATATTCTCCCGTAGAGGATATCATCGCTCGAAATTTTTAAAAATTTGATTGTATCACATAAGCTGGGCATATGCTTATAGCATCTATTTATCTATATGGTTCATTTAATATTGACACATACATGTGAATGACTTAAAGTGCCATAAACAAATGACACTTGCCCCAAAACTATGTTTTCAAATAAATTGCAAAGATAGATCGTTATAAGGTCTGAAATAATTTGGATACATGTGATATAATTGCCTTAGCAAATATTTGCTGGAGGATTATAAAAACGAAGATATTTGTCCATTTATTTCTATACAAAAAACAAATAATGAATTTGTAATTTCGATGATTTATGTTGATGATTTAAATTTTATTGAAACTCCTGAAAATTTTAGCAAGACTGTAGATTATTTGAAAAATAAATTTGAGATAAAGATTTAGAAAAAACCTAAATTTATGCAAATTTTGCTAGAGGCCTAGAGGATCGCCCTTAAAGACTAGTTGTTATTACATGCATATATTGAATTCTATGTATATAACATGTCATCCTAATACTTCTAAGAGGTGGATCTTGCAACCTTCTTTCTATCATAGTGAAAATCTGCAGATATGAACACAACATTCGTATTGACGGTGAACTTATGCATATCTTCATTATTCTATTCTTCTTCTTTTTCTCTTTTCCCTTTGTAATTATATTGCTTGCGATATTCACCACTGGGAACTTAGTCCATTCTAAAATAATTTGTACGTCATATAATAACATAAGTACATCTGTCACCCCCAAAAAATATAATTTTCCAAATGTCACGGGTTGAGTGGCAATAATCGACACTTTTCACGATTCACCCATTCTAACACCTCAACTAATTACGGTTATATTTCCTTTTTATTGTTGACGTACAAGAGATACAATACACTAATTTATCGTTGTAATACTTGTACCACGTATCAAATATTTGTTACCAAAAATATGTATGACAGGAGAATGGTTGACAGAAATATGTCAGGTCGAGCAACACCACATATCTTATAGATAATACTTTGGCATTTAATGGTGACAGAGTATAAGTCATTTATTATAGCCCAACAACATTAATACTATATTTGGCACCAACCAAGAATTGGAATCTTTTTAATGCAAAATTCATTCACATTACACACGTCTCATTAAATTTACACCTTTCACGTTGTGTGCCTGGGAATGAAACTCAGAAAAAGCCAAATTCCCATGTGTTGTCCACACATTTGTCGTTCAAATCTTTCCTCTTTCATCAGCCCCATATTTAGTTTTTGCAGTTCCATCTTCTGTTACTCTTTTTCCATCTTTTGGGTATGGCATAATTGCATTAACGTGGCTGCCACTCATCAGGACAAACCACCTGATATTATACATTATTTTTTGTCCCCTCTTTATTCATGGTGGTTGAGCCCACTCGTCTGTATCCTTTACATAGATTTAAGTGGTCGGTCGATACGTGTAAAAAGGGTAAATTAGATGAATGGGATTCCTAACTTTTTGGGTTATCAAGAAAATGAAATGAAGATTATCTGAGGTCGAGCATTGAAATCTTTCCAGCTACGTTTCACACTTCATCCAACCTCGACCTCTGGTGGCCATTGGCCGTTCATTAGGATTCAACTAGAATGAAGCTACAAGAAATGATGCTAAAGTCCCTTCGACTGAGTCAACTCTAGTCTACACTCATCTAAGAAAAGAAAGAATCTATCAGTCCTTATTGATCGAAGGAGCTTTGAATTCGAAACGCATGGACTCTTAAGTCAATGACAGGAAAGTTATGATTCTTCATTCACATCAGTTATTCCACCACTAAAAGGACCTTTCTTGACTACATATTGTTACAGACAATGGCTTCAAACAGACGTACTTCCAAGTTCCATGAACTCTTGGAACATATAGAATATTAGATTAGAGTTAATATATTTCGGTTTGCAAATCAATTCAGTGTAGAACTCAATAAGAGATAAAAGAGTTCTGCAACAGTGTCAATGCATATGAGGTAGGGGACACACGTGCACATATCTGAAACTGGAAACAGAACAATGTATTCGTGCAATATAACATTGACTTTTAGAATGACTTTGGAATGAAAAATACGGCAAATTACACGATCAGAAGAATGTCAAGTATATAGGATACAATGAAGATGTTAGCAGTAACACAGGAAAAATTTGAAATGGCTAAGCAATGCAGATCCAATAAAAATTCACTAGGAGATTACTGATTTACTCAAATATGCATTTAAGCTAAATTGGCAGGTTCTGTACCAAATCCTCTACTCCCTAGCAAATAGAGAATAAAGCTGAGTTTGTTATTCTACAGTGTTCAGGTAAATCAGGCCTTCCCCCAAGATAAAAGTCATTATGAGATCATTGTGGAGAAAAAGAAAAGAAAAGAAAAGCTATAAACAAGATTAGATTTCAACCGGAGAATATATTGTATCCGCCTAATGTTTACTAATCTAAACAAGCAACTAGCTACCGTTAACTTTTAGAAAGCTATCAGCTGCAACGAATGAACATCAATTGCTTCAGCAAAATATAGGATTGTAAGCACATAATTCCTTGTTTCCTCTTTTCACACAATAAATTAGGTAATATACCAAATATACATATATATCACCAAAATAATGGAAAGATCCTTTAAACTATGATGAACACACCCTTGAAGATAAACAAAAACATTAGCTCAATTCCTGACTTCGTAGGCAGTAGGCACAGTTCCACCTCCAGATTTCAGAGCATAAGCAATTCTGTAAAAGTGACATCTAACATCTCTATAATTTATACAGGAACTTGAAGGTAAAATGAAAACAATAAAATGATGATCCAGGAGAACCTGTATCTGGAGAATGGGATGAAGCTGTAGGCCTGGGAGAAGGAAGGATGAGCAAACCAAATGCACACCTTTTAGAATTCTTGGATAGTTACAGTGAAAGAAACCAAATCATCCACAAAATCCATCTTCTCCGCAAAGATACCTCTTCATTTTTCGTGCTTTTCGAAACTTGAATATGTATTTCGAACCAATCTACTGTCCCGATCCCTGAGAATCATCCTTGGGAGATGGTTGCTGCTGAAGCTGATGCTGCTGCTGTTGAGGGTGCATCCTAGACTCTCCCATCTGCTGGTAAAGCTGGTTCATTGCTTGAGGATTCAAAACCCCAATATGAGAATCTTGGGATAGCCCAAGCTCCAATCCTGGAAGCTGCTGGTTTGTAGCACCCAAAATTGAGGTAAAACTCATTGGCCCCATATTGCTTGATGGCAAATCAAACCCTGGGAACCCAATCTTCTGCAAGTAATTAGAACCCTCACTACCCAGATTAACTGTTGATGGACCAGAAGATGATGATGATGATGACTGAAATCCAAAACCACTGACAGCAGGGGGCCATATCCCTGCACTTGCCATATGGGGTCTCCCCAAATTTACCATAGGCCAACTGGACCTATTCCCACCCCCTCCCCCACCTGACCCCCCCATATGCCCACCAAATTCATCCATCTTTTGGTGAATCCCTGCTGATATAGAGTTCCCCTGCTGGGAAATAGAAACCCCGGCTGCTGCTAAAGCCGATGCCGGTATAGTCCCCGTCCCTGTAGCAGCTATTATCGATGGCTCCGCTTGCTGTAACAGCCACTGTATAGTTTCTCCATCAGATTTGTGTCCCAATTCTCTGGTCAGCTGAAAAATTCTTGCAGCACAAAGGGCTGGCATCCTTATCCTCCTCCCTCTACCTTCAACTTTCGTGTGCCTATCTTTACTCGAGCTTCTCTTGGGTGCCAGTGCCTGTTTCTTCCCTTCTTCTTTCTCTGCAACCACAATCTGAAAATCCTTCATCTCTGCTGACTTATTCTCGCTCATCCCTGTGCTGTTATTCAAGAAACTTGATACCTCCTGCGGCTGCTTTGAGCCCTTGGGATCCATGATTTTTACACAAGAAATTACAATAAAATAGCAAAAAAATCAGTAGGAAGAAAAGGGGTTATGCGTTCTTTGTGTGTATTGAAAAAGGTGACCTCAAAGAAAAGGAACAAGAGGAATTCTAGTGATGCTTGAATTCGCAAGTTTTTGTCACTGTTTATGGGTAAAAAGAAGAATGTGAAAGAAAGGTAACTTGTTGAAATCCCAAGACAATGAGTTAAGGATCTTTGTCAAAAATATTAATAAAATCTGCCTCTTTTTCACTGTTCCAGATTTTGACTTTTGACTATTTTTTTTGATTTGACATGGTTTCCCAAGTTTTCACTGGTACACAAACACGCGGCTTGTTCAAACCCAGAATAAAGATAATAGAAAAACACGACAGAATAGATATTACACCATTCGTCTGGATTTCACTGCTAAACACGGAACTTGAAAACACGACAGAAGACAATCCAGCAAGAAATCGACCAGTATAAATGGATTTTATCTATGATTTCAATTGAGAGACAGCAAAGAGTATGATGCGAGATTGAACTCAAGTATACATATGGATGTATATTATAGGACGACACTTGGCAAACAATAAGTGGGATTCCTTCAAGCTCACTCTAAGTGCATCCTTAAAAAAAGGAAAAACAAAGATAAAGAAGCTTCTAATAAATTTCATGGAATCAAGCAGAGATGGCCCAGATAGATATGTCCTTTGAGTTGCTAAAGAAAATGATTAGGGTTTCACGATGCTAATTATGTGGGGCCCAGAGCTCCATCATCCTTGTAAGATGGAACTTTGGAGCTTACTCAACATAGATTTTATTCAGTGGAGAGAATAGTTTAAAAGCTTCGAGGTTGTTATCAGAATGTTAGTCTATGTCCAATCGAACTACTTTTCATGAAAACACAAAAACATTAAGGATAAGAGTTTAATGTCAAACTTTACCATAACTCTTCTATACAAAGCTTAATCGTAAACTTCTTATTTATAATCGTGAATTGCAGTTCACTAGATTTATTAAATCTCTTATTAAATGACAATGATTATTGTCATTTAATAAGAGATTTAATAAATCTAGTGAACTGCAATTCACGATTATAAATAAGAAGTTCAAGATTATTCTTCCATGCATCAACCTCAATGGAAACAAGAAGTTGACTTCAGTTGGGAATCATCGTGGATGGGTCGGAGCTCTCACTGATCACAAGCTATAAAATTGTTAAAGCGAATTGTCACGCTCCAAAAATATTGATGTTTGATTATCTTGTGTTACGGATACTCTTAAATTTTTAATATATAGTAGTTTACTGGAGTCTTAAATCCATGAATCAAAGGAATCTCTTAAATAAAATTGTGGAGGAATATTATTACCAATAATGAGAAGGAAAGAAAACAAACATGTTTGAGAGGAAATGTGGAAAGTGGGGAAGAAGGTGACATGAATTTCCTTGAATCACTCCTATCACAAAGATGCTTAATCATTATTAGTTTTAAAATGTAGGATTAGTGCAGTTTTTTTATAGTGCCACGGACTTTACATACCTAATACATGTGGAAGAAGAATCATTTTCCAGGCTGGTTATGTTTAGTCACCACCCAAACTTGGTCCTAGGGATATTTTTAGCTAGTGTGTGATTAATATATGTCATCTATCTTCGCCTCAACCACTTTTCACTCTAAAGTGTTGAGTACGCATTCCAACACCTTGTCAACAACAATATCCGAGGCAAAGTAACTCCATGCAGACTTGTCACCTTTCGAGGCGATAGGCCGGGACCCAACCCTTTGCGACATTGGAGGAGAATCTTGACGGTTAAGGTCTGAAGCCTGATTTTTTATGCTAGTTATATTCTAATACTTTAAATCACGTGTGATGTCCCTTATTTCTCGATTTGGATAGTGTTTGGAGGTCACGATCTATGATACCTAAAATGCAAGATGGTGACAGAGATGAGTTTAACCAATGAGTCATTGGAATGAAACTACATTTCAAACAATCGGAGAACTTCAATTCATATCATTTGCCTATAAATACTCATACTTGGTGAAATTTGAAGGACACTCGAAAATGATATTCTCACTCTTAGGAATATAAACCCTGACTCTAGTTTTTCTTCTCTGTTCATGTCATTCTCGCATTCAATACATTTGATAATCTATTTCATTGACTTGAGTATCAGAGTACATACAACATCTTTCCTGCCTTTGTTTAGATAGGCTTCAATTTTGTGCCTTTAACGTGTATATTCTAAGTGACAAGTAACTTATACATAGAGAAAAGTGGAGAAGGAATCAACGGCGAGCTGGGTCCCATCCATTTTGGAGGTTAACGTATGGATGCGTTTGTGGAAAATATCACTTTAACCAAGATACATGTGAGTAAAAAGCTAATCAAGAAGCCTACATTTTACCCAAGTTGCCCTTTTTCCAAAAGACTAGCCGTAGGAGAAAGGATGAAGGAATTGAAGGAGATGCCAACCTCAGAAGGACCGCAATAAAGATGCAAAAATGACAATGGGGAGTAGGCCCTCTGTCTTAGACGTGGCAAGGAAACCCATAGGAGTTGCTATTAAAAACAGGATCCGAAAAATATTCAAGATAACATGAAACTGCAGATTACAACATAAATCCTAAACCACAAAATCAAGGTTTAGATCTTTCAATTGTAGGCACAGACCACGATCCTTTTACCATCACAGAGGCACCGAGACTCAAACACAAGCCCTCACAACCCAACACATCAAAGTCGCTTCACTGAAAACCAAAACAAGGACTGCCTACCTTCAATCGATTACTCATATAAAGGAGAATCACACAAGAATACAATTATCACAAAGATAATCAACCAGAAATCTCACAAAGAGAAGAAGGAAGAGTCACAAAGACGAAGAACACGAAGGTTCCAGAAGGCAGAGAGAGAAAAAATGACAATCTAAATGCCAAATAGGAGCTAAGGATATTATTTATAGATAATATCATCAACCGTTGATCAGCGGGTCAATCCAACGGTCCAAGAGCGACTAAGATG